TGTGTTTATCTATATCATTCTTTCTGTCTGTTTGTCTATAAATCTATCTGTCTGTTTATTGTTCTATCGTTCATTCTCTTGTTCCGTCTCTCTGTTTGCCTGTCTGTCAGTCTGTTGTTCTGCCTAGCAACATCCTAGTAACTGCCTGCTTCAGCTTCAGCTTTAATCCAATCTTAATCAAGCCGTCAGCTCGCCGAGTGTGTCAGATCTGTGAGACTGTTGGGATTCTCCTGGAACAGGATCGGAAAACTCTGAAAACCTTATATATTCAACCTACACAAGTCTACATAACCTTCCGGATTCAAACTAACCTCCTGCAGTAAAGACTCTGGTTCTCTCGTAGTGTTTTCTGGTGTGTTCTGCAGACGCAGCTGAGGAATCAGCTGATCCAGGAGCTGCATCCGGCGGCGGTGCGGAGAGGAGACGCTCACTCTGTGTTAGTCACCGCATGCAACAGCGTCGTCGTCCATCACCTGCGGAGCGTCGGCTGCGACTACACGCTGGCTGTCTTCCTCCCCGAATGCGGAATGAGCAAAGACCAGGTGACTCCACATGACTTCATACTTACTATTGTAAAGATCAGCATTGTTTTGCAATTCTGATTTATGATTTTGTCACGAGGCTGTTAGGAAAATGCTCATGAAGAACTATTTTTTTTAAATGAACATTATGAATGAACCTCATGGAAAACCACAACCAAGACCAGGTCTTGTTTTTGTTGGACTTGCGTAGGTTTTATCAGCCAGAGAGCTTCTGCAGCTCACGAAGATCAGCCCTCACACGCCGTTATACAAATCTCTGGTAATAAATCGTACATTTCTTCAGTGAGAGGACATGCTTCTGTTTGTATAAATGCCATTGAAGTAGTTGTTGTTTTACCTTAATATATTTCCCTATTTCTCGTTCTTTCACATTCGGGCAGGTGTCGAATATTCAGAAGGGACAGACAGGTACGGTACGATTATGTGGTGTAGGATTTACATTGAAACATTTTTTTTGTTGTTGTTTAATTGTTAGTAAATTCCAGAAATATTTATGAAGAAGATTGGTTTTATAACAAATGAAAGCACTTTTAAATTATATCATTAAATTATATTTTATGTTATATATTTTATTTTTTAAAAAGAGTAATTAAATCATACATTAAATTTAAAAATGCTATATAAATAATTTTTTCCATGTTGATTGTTTTTTTTAGATAAAATAGTTCAATTATTGTAAACAATCTACTGATATTGTTATCATAATACTGTTGATTTCGCCCTGAGTATAGGCATTGCTGCTTAAATGGCATTAAATTATACATGCATAAATAAATTACAAATTAAATGTTTAATTTTTCAGATTTGTGTTAATAAATCCCTGTGCAGATGGTAGATATTTGAAGTTGGCATGAAATGCATTGATGCTATTTACCTGGCTCAGTACACCGTAAGATACTGACACTGTTGCTCTCTGTGATGAGCATGATGATGAATGTTGTTTTATCCCTGCAGGTTTCCTGATGAGTCTCTTCACAGAGCTCACTGAACATCACGTTTACAGAGACTGCTGCGATGCTTCCACCCAATCCACCTCCATATCAGCGCATAGAGAATCACTCGGTAAGCCTCTGCTTATATCCAGACTCCACGAAGAGCTCCACAGGATGATCCACAGATTCTGAAGAATTTAAACACCCACCGTTCACAAAGCTCAACACCTGTTCATTTATTAAACATCTCGGCCTTCAAAAAAGTGCTCATAATAGTTTATAAAAGTAAATAAATAGTCCCCATTTTAAAGTACGGAGAAATCAACCGTTGTCTTTTATGCTCACCAGGGCTGCATTTATTTGATCAAAACTACAGTGAAACTTGTGAAATATTATTACTGTTTAAAATCTGTTAAA